CAAAACGAGAATCTTTTAAAGGCCCAAAAAAAAAAAAGTTTCTAAAAACCCCCCCCCATTCCCCCCCCCCCCCCACAGATCAGCTATGAAGCTATATAGTTAGATGATATATGAATATACTCACTGTATTTGTTGATGTAACTGGCTCTGTATGCACTTTATCAATAATAACTGTTAATATTTGTCCAACACAAATATGAAAATCGGGGTGTGCATTTATGTTTAACCCTGTTTACTCTGGTACCACTAAATCAAATCCAGTGCAATCAATTATTAGAGAATAGGGGATAATCAGTGTTATTCACATGCTGCAGTTGTTGTGCTGAATTGGTTTGACCTATTATTTAAGGAAAATTCATTTTACTTACTTTCTGCTCTTTAAAAGCTAAAAAATTGTGTTCGATGTGTAGTGTAAAGAAAAACCCTCAGATTTTGATAAGTTATGTTTGCTAGAACATTTTCAATTTTGGTGTTGTAACTTTCTGCAAAGTCTGGCATATAGTGCTTTAAAATGTAATTTTGCACTAAAACTACAGATGTTTATGTGTACTTTTTTTTTTTTTTTTTTTTTAGACAAATCTATAGTCTTTAAACTCTCATCACTCATTTGTCCAAGAGTGGTACCCGATCATCTCATCTAACTATTTTAAACTAAACAAATAAGCTTATCTCCCAAAGTGTCAAACTGTTTGTTTCATGCCCGGTCTCTAATAGTTCCAGTGAGATGGCAACTTTAATACTTAAGCAACTGTTTACACAATACAAAATGACTTGTAATCTCTCTATGCATAGATGGTGATGGTACAAGATACAACTTTACTTACCAATGGCGCGACAGTCAGTGGCTACCCCTTTTTCAGGACAGAAAAACACAAAGCTCTGTTGCTCAAAAACAGAGTAAAGGTTGAAGCAATTACACGTATCTAAGAAAGAAAAATAACTGGTCATCGTCTTGTTATTGAACCTGTCTGGCACCTCAAGATCAATAATAACTCCATTCCTCTCCAGTTCTTTTCCAAAATCCACTCTTTAAGGTGAGAGCCATGCCTGTTGACTTTTAGGTCAGCTGCTGCGCTCTCTGTTCAGGGTCAGACACTTCTACCAGATGTACCCTCCATCATCTGCCTCGCCCTCCTCCTCTTCCTCCTCCTCTGCTTCCTCCCCGTTATCCTCTGCCTCCTTCTCCTCTTCATCTTCCCATCCGACTCCACTACCAAAGTCTCCAGAATATCCAGTTACTTCATCTGGAAGAGGTTAAATAAATATATTTGCGTTACATTTTTCTAAAAGCAAGTTTTTTTTTTGTATTTCAAATGTTGCTTAAAGGAAAGGACTGCTGGTTATCTAAGTGACACTTCAACCATATGAAGCTGATGCCCAACCACCAAAACATACAGAACAGGCGACAAACTGTTTCTGCACCCTGATTCTGTAAAACGGAGAACTGAAATAGAGTTCATATCTGAATCCAGACAAGTTACAGAGGGAAGGCAGAATAATGGATGCGGGAGAAACTGGAATGGAAAACTTAAATACAAACCAGCAGAAAGAACTGAGGCAGGGAAACCAATTTTACAGAAAAGGAGGTGAACTAAGGCTTAAAAAGGAACTACAAACCAATCAGAAAAGACTAACACAGATCTAAGAGAAATGAATTTCATCGCACAAACTTGAAAACTCAATACAAATGACTAAACAAATATGGATAGACGCTAGTATTACTAAAATGAAATGTCAAGAAACACAAGAGAAAACCAGAAGACACAAAGATCATGACATCTTAGAAATACTGAAAGAAAAAAATGGACACATTTCATTACAGACATGAACTGTAAGGTTTGCAATTCACTGAACTGAAGACATGAAGAGCACAAATGATCTGGCAATAAATTATAACATTGATTAAAAAAATAATAATTTAGGGTTTGGAGTAACACATAAAAATAAAAGAAGTAAACCTTCCAAGTCGTCATAGCCTTACCACAGTCTGGGTTTCCATGAACTCTGGAGCCCATCATCTCTCCATGCAGGTCGACACACCAGCATTCCCCTCGGCTCTGATCACACTGCACTTTCCTGTAGTAGCCGTCCTCATCACAACTGGGAATATAGGTGCCTAAAAACATTATTACATTATGATAATAATAATTATTATTATTACCAGGTTCAAGATAAATCATGAAAAGCATGCTGATGATCTCCACCGTAGCTGATTAAAGGTTCAGACATTTCCAGTGTACTTCGGTGACGCAGGCTAAAAAACTTTTTTTTTTTTTTTTGCATAAAGGAACACAGTGGGAGCGAAAGCTTTCTGTTTATTTTGCCCGTGCATGGACGTGCTGTCGGACGTCATCTCACACTGTACGTCTGTATGGTTTGTGTTTCCTTATGCTGTGAGAGTGGCACGTTAAAACATAGTGACAGCCTCTGTGACAGAGCTCCGCTTCTTCAGCCTCCCCCAGGACAACCTTGTCAAACACAGAGCAAAGTTTTCTGAGCAGCACCGATCCTCCTTGACCCACACCAGCAAAAAATAAAAATAAAAAAACAAGCGAAAACAGACGCAGGATAAGTTGCCTGAGTTTTGAGTTGAAAACAAAAGCTCCTGCAGTGTTATTTGCCGCAAATGCTGCAGTGTGGGGTTTCTGCTGGAGTCAAGTGTCTACATTAACCTTGGTCTTTCCCAAAGCCAGCACTGCCCTCTAATCCCCTCCAGCCTGATTAGGACCTAATCCTTGTTGTGTGCTTGTGATCTCTTTAATTAGCCCCCTGCAGCTTGTTGTCTGTGTCTTTAGCCTCTTTATTTCACATTTTTACCTGGAAACCTGCAGAGAGTGTGATGGCAAACGCAGCTGAATGGTGTGACTTCAACACGTTTGCATAGCGGTGGCATGCCCTAGAAGGGATTTCATATGACTACCCCAATGAGCTTATGTCCAAAATGTAAGCTTAGGATTTAACACACATCTCAAACTTCACGGCGTCATGCAGAAATAATGCATTTACCGGGTTTCTTCTTGGCCGCCCGCTGCACTTGGATCCTCTCCAGCTCGGCAAGGCAGGGCGGCTCTGCGAGAATCGAGACGAAAAGTGATGACGGACAGAAACCCGAAAGTGCTCTCCTCAAACTTTATCTCAATCAATGCTCTTCATAATTACACGTTTTGCCCGTATCGATTTGCTTAAGAAGTCTTGTATTTCAATCCCTGAGTGTGATTGATCGAGGAGGGTTCAGCTGAAAGAACATATGGATGCGGGCAGAGACGTGGGACAAGGAAGCAAGGCGCACTTTTAGATAAAAGTAGAAGCAAAGAGGACACTTTCTGTGGAAAAACCACCAAGGCAGCAAATCCTTGCAAGCATTTATGGAAGTTTACAGGAAGAGAAAGAGTTTAATCCTGCTTAACTGCAGAGCTAATGTAAAGCTTGTCACACACACGGTGATAAGACTGTAAACCAGAGATTTTGTCTTGTTGTTTTCTTGAAAATTACTATCCACGAAAGATTTCACAATACTGTCACAAAGGGCACTTCAGCATTTTGAGATTTTCAAGTAGAAGCAAATACTGAGCCATAGTCAGGCATTAATAAATAAGGTATGCTATACTTCTTTTCAAATTGGTTTTAAATTATAGAGAGCTCTGCTTCACTGTCTGCAGGATTTTACTGTATTAGTAAATTGAATTTAGGTGTGCAGAGAAAGGCAACCTTTCTGCTTGTAAAATATAATTGTTATATCATAACACACAGTTACATTTTCTGTTTCTTCAGAAATTAGAAATACTTTTGCTGCTTGTTCCTTTTAAAGATTCATCTCAATCAATAGAAATGGAATCTCAAGGTCAAAGAGTTGCAAAATTTGATGATCAGAAATCAGGCAAAATAAAAATCCTTAATTGGAGCATCTCTAAACAGAACTTTCTATACGTTTTCATCCAAGTTAATAATGCTCTTAAGCTTGCAACCTCGTGCTACATTCCAATCCAAAAGGGTTTGATTTGTTCAGTCCAAGGTTCTGATGCAAGGGAAAGTTGAAGGAAGAAGGTGAAGAAGAAAGCCCTCGGGGACTTGTTAGTGGAGAAAATCAATGAGGAGAGCTGTTGTTTGGATTTCAACCTCTAATCACGCAGAGTTCATTTGTCAGACTTGGAGGAGAATGAATTAATAGAGAGATGACGCAAATCAGCAAACTCCTAGAATGGCTGTGGGTTAGACTGACAGACAGGGGAATTCACCCGCTTAGTTCCACTCACAAATTGAAAACCTATTCATACTAAAATATGTTTGTGACAAAATAGGAAAAACTCAAACGACGTGAACACTTTTTCAAAGATCTGTAACTCAAACTTTCTTTAAAGCATGTTTTCTTTAACCCTGTCCAGTCCGTGGTCATATTTTAATGCTTACGGTGGATTTACAATCAGTTTTCATTCATTTGTTTCACCCACTTTACAGCCACGCTGCCTTTCTTGCTCTGCAACTCGGAGGGAGATGAAGACGCCTACTCTCAGCTCCCTTCTTGCAAAGTTTTGACTCACTTTCTCTCCAGAAGCAGAGGCACCACTCTGCCGTGGAGACCTTCCCATCCTTGTAGCTGTCACAAGAGTTGAAGAAGGGCCGGATGCAGATCTCATACTTGTCCAGGTTAATGGCGGCCAGCTCAGTCTGGTCCAGATACAGGTCGCCGTTGGTGTCCAGCTTGGAGAACATCCAGCCGATGGAGTCCTTGCAGCTGGCTACCAGGCTTTTTTCCAGCACTGTTTAGAAGGAAAAAGTGCACAGCGACGGTTTGTTTCGGGTTTTCGTGGCAGAGTTAAGCAAAGTTGCAAGCTTGGAGCTTCTCTAACCCGAGGTGGCACCAGCTCCTGGCTTGCCAGAGTTGTTCTGCTTCGCATTTCCATGAAGGAGCTGGAACCAGTCCCTGAGGCGGTCGCCCAAGTCAGCCAGATCCTGGCCGGTGCAGCTCTCTGGGGGGAGAACAAATACGGAAATCCCAAGAATCAAAAGTCTGGCACGTTCTCCACAGCAAAATGATTTAGCTACGTCCCTTAAAGGCAGACAGGAACTCTGTGTGAAAGACACCGATTTTATTACACAGAAAAGCTTTCTATCTGCACTGTTAGGTCTTTGATTGATTCAAACCCCTGATTCTGCCAATCAGACAAGACGTTATTTTTACAACTAACTCTGAGATAGGAAATCACTTTTACCCAATCGAAATGCACTTTCACTTTCAAGACACGCTTCTTCCAGGCTGCAGATCAAGTAACATTTCATATGTTTGGCCAATTGGCATTTTTACATGCCCCTGAGCCTCGGCAAATCAATGGTGTTTGGGTCCTTTGATAGATTGTGTACACTCTAAATAATTAATTACTACCTGATTGAAAGAGCAGGAATCCACCAGAGGAATTTTTGGCTAACGATAATCCCTAAGTATTGGTGAGTATTGATCCCACATTGGGACCGAGAGTTGAGTGGATTTGTCTAGTGAGAAAAGGAGACGAAATATATTTCTCTTTTTTTTTCCCCCTCACTGCCTAAAAAAGTAGAGAATTTGATCAGGCTTCTGAAGTAGATCTATGTATCAAAAATATTTTCATTCTCATTAAAGAAATAGATTTTTGTTAACTGTTGATAAAACTGAAGATTTTCTTCTTAACTATGGAGTTCTGGGGGTTCAGTGGTAAAGCTGGCACATCATATATAGAATGGATGTAATAATCGCAGCAGCAGAATGAGATCATTTCACTTCAACAAAGATTTTATTTGTTTATATCCATCTAAATGAGCAGTTTCTAATGACAGATTGAGAGTCATAAGTATTATCTTAATACCTAAGGGAAGATTTTCTGCAGAATAAAAAATTATTTCAGCTCAATCTAATGTCACAGCATTTTGGTGTCCTGCAAAAACCTTGGTCAGAGTGTAAAATGCGTGCAGATGTGTGCAAAGAGACACATTTTCAAGGGTAGATATTGCTTCAAAAGTCTCCCCAAACCGAGATGCATGAAAATGCAGCAGGTGAAAGAAAGGTACTTGCCACGTCTCATGTCAGCGTTCGCAGCAGGAGCGGTGGCGCAGGGGCAAAATCCGGAACACATGATTCTCAGGTCTTTACCTGTGAGGCAAGCCTGCTGCTCCAACTTGCACTGCGAGAGAGGGAGGGCGAGAAAGGCACAAACGGAGATAAAATATTTATGAGGCTGACCGCAGGAAAGCGAGATTGTTCATTCAGACGGGCCACTGCACTTAAAGGGAAGGCAGCGGGAGTGAGCTGTCATTTTCTGCTGTCTTTCTCATGCAAGGTCAAAATTAAAAAGTGCACGGTAAATCGATAGAGTCCTGCTGGCGGACGGTCCACGGCGACGCCGTTCTAAAACAACGCCTGGCCATTAATCACAAGGCCTCGCTCAGCCCGCTTCACACGTCTTCCCGTGAGCAGTGATGAACTGCTGCCTTGGTGTGCGCCCACGTACGTGTCAGCGTGGCAGGAAACTGCACTTGACTGGTCCTCATGTCATTATTTAAGGAGTTGACACAGCCGCCATCCCTTTTATCTTTTATATATATATATATATATATATATATATATATATATATATATATATATATATATATAT